CGTGGGAATCGGGTTAATGGCTGATTTTTCCCTTGTTATAATTTGTTCGTTATTATCCGTGTATTTCTCGTTAGTTTGCCTCGCGAAATTCTTCGTCGGTATTAGAACTCTGTTGTTGAGTTATTGATACCCTCTTCTTTTGTTATTTTTGGCTGAGTTGTTATCGAATAAATTCGAGCCTTGACTTGTCATCCGAACCTTCATTCCGTGATTGTTGTACTTTTTAAGAGTTGGGTTTGGAAAACCTCTTTTTGAAAACCGTTCATTGATGACTATTCTGGTCATTGATTTGACCCTTTAAACTCGGTCGATAGGCTTTGAACTCTTCTGATGAGTTAAAGTTCTATCTTTTATGTTTCATCTTGAGCAGGAACCAAGTCTTTATCAATTTCGTGTTGGATGATGTGGCCAAAGTTTTGCGAGTGCGCGCCCAGTTTTCCTAAAAATTTTTGGTTTTGTGGGTGATCTGTTTCCATGGCTGTTTTTAAACCCTGAAACCTCGTCGTTTCCTTTTGAAGTCTTCTTGTAAATTTTTAGGTCAGCCTGTTGCCTTTCATGAGGAACATGAATCGCGTGTTTGTTATTTTCCTTCATTTATCGATAATTGCGCCGGAAATCCGATCGTTGCATAGTCAGTTTTTCGTGTAAATCGCAACAGTTGCAGTCTTTTATTTTCGCTATTTTTGGCATGCTTCTGGTAATCTCGGAACCTCGATGTCTTCATATGAATTGTAGTTTTGTCTCTTACGATTTCAAACGGCGCAAGATTCATTTAGGGGATGCGTTCAAGACACGAACTTCGTACAATCAGATTTCTGGAAATTTGCAGCAATTATTAATGTGCGAGCTTGATCCGTTTTCAACCCTTTAACCTACCGTTCATGCCTTGCTACCCGAGTGCTATTCCTTTGTCCTTGATTGCTACCTTTCGCTTAGTAGTCAAATTTGAATCGTATTTCGTGACCCATTCTTATTATTTGTGACCGCGCGTCGCAACACGGTCAAAATATAATATTTAATTTTCCTTAACTGACTTCTACCAACTAGTAGTAGTAGTGAGCAAGGGTCGAACCCACAGGGATTGTGGAATTTAATTGTAATTATTTTCTTTAATTGAAATCATGAAAATACTAATAAAAGGGGGGGTTTTGGTGGAAATTAATTAACTAATAGAAATATGAATGACGGAATGAATTCAAATGCAACAAATAAAGATGATAATCAAATAAATGGGGAAGCTTCTAGTCCACGGTTCCGTCTACACCCTCGACTGACTCGTCTAATTAATTTTAGTATCAGATTTCGCTATCTCCTGAAATTACTAGCCCTAGGTAACGACACGGTCTGTTACCCGAAGTTTTCCTTATTTTTAATTTAACCGCGAGACGCTCGACGATTAAACCTGACTTCTTGTACAGTCCGGAAAAACGTTTTCAAGATTTAATACAATTAGCCGCTTTACGATTTAGAAAAATAGGCTAGACTAATTAGTGAACTCAACCGCGTTCGTTCACTTAATTAGGCCGTGTTATCCCCGGTAGTTACCATCTTCCGGTTACCTCTTATGAATTAAACACAACAACAATTACGGATTGCAGGCTTAATTCAGATGTAGATATGAAAAGCCTAATCTAGGTGATCAATCTAAACAAAACTAACACATCATGGTGAATTATTCAAAATAACACAAGCAAATCCAAAAAGATATTAAAATCCTCAACCATATAAATCAATCAAAACATAGTCAATCGTAGGGTTCGACTTCCCCGGAACTAGAATAAAGGAACTACTCACTCATAATATTCAATAACATAATCAAGAATTTAATTACACAAGAAAGAAGAAAAGAACTACTCACTCATAATATTCAAAATAAAATTCTTCTCTAATGTCCGTTGTCTCTGTTCAGTTGCTATGAATCGCGATCTGCTCCAATAGGTCTCTCTGTCCAATATTCCCTCGCAGCCGCAATGTCCCCGTCAAAAGAATAATAATCCTCCCAAGTTAAAAACAAATTGATATATATCCTTTTCCTCCAAATATCTCACGTCTCTCTCCTTTATTTAATTCTTGGTCAACATAGTCTTCCCAACTTAGGCCCACTTCAATCTTTAATGCTCGCAGCCCACTTGGATTAATTCTCCTGCCATATACGTGAAATGCATGGGCTTCTCCATGTGTATGGGCCTGCTGGCCAGTACGGGGGTAGCTGGGTCAGTACTGGACGACCCCGTACTTGCCGATAACACTTCTTTGTCCTTTTTCCGAGCATCCACACCTCACCGTGCAACAGAAATAGCTCCAAAAGTACTGAAAATCACTCAAAAACTCATCAATGCTCGAGAGTTGATCATAATATCAAATAAGTCGAAAGATGCATAAATGCGGGGAATTAAACGTGCACAATTGTAGCATTAGATGATTAAATGCAAGCACTTTTCTTGACTAATCAAACCACCCCACACTTGAACGATGCTTGCCCTCAAGCATCAAGCCAAATTCGTCCTATCAAATTGCAATCACACTCTTTCCTCTTCCTTTGCCAATTCAAAATCTTTTTACACACAAGAAAGCAAGTCATGGTAGAACCCTTATATACCGACATCAATGACCGAGAGTCTCAACAATCAAATAATATAAAAATGCAAGCGAGGATTCAACACATCTCACGAGGTTCGCTCAAACTCTCCAAGTGTATAGGCTAAAGATATATAGATATAAGTGAACGCTCAAGTCAAAACATGGAAAATCTTTACCATAAGTTGCCATTGCATCACGCCCAACAACTCGAGAATGAATATAAATCACAAAAATCAAAGGGTGTGTCACAAGGTTGTAACGGCGGGTATGGGTAATAATGGCTAGACGTGTTGACAAGAAAGAAGAATAATGTAATTCAAAAGAACCAAAGCAATCGTGCAAACCCCATCCGAAAAGAGCTCAAAACACAAACACACTACCCACAAGTGATAACCAACTAATTTCAGCTCATCTCATCATAGGACAATCATCAACCTCTCCAATTTTTTATTTTTTATTTTTTATTTTTTTTGGTAAGGATGACAGATCAGACAATAAGCAATCATTCACCAACACTCACAACACACCTCCCTTTAACCAAACAACGACTTCTAACACACATCCTTTCCTCGAACAAATAACCCCTTCTTAGAACACACAATATCAAAACACACAGCCCCCAATTAAACTCAGAACACGCAGCCCATTTACACACCCCGAACAAACAAGAACCTCTGCTCAAATTAGACAGGAATTTACACAATTGCTCAGTTCAAAGGTTCAAGTAAGATATCAACAAGAAGGGATTATGGCATGTAATGTGGTTATTATTCAAAGAGAAGGCTTTGTGGCTCAAAGGGGCTTACTAATGGAAATAATTCGGTTTAGGCTCATCAAAGAAACTGGTCACAACACAAAGGTTCATCCTAAACACCCTTATCAATTATGTTCATCCATATTCATCAAGAACCAAACATAAACGTGTATAGCAAGGCAAGTTCTAGAAAGATCAACCAGTCGTGACATCACACAATCAATAAAAAGAGCATTATAGACAGTGTATGCTCATTGGCTCAAGCCTCACGACAAGTAGGGACAAATAGTGATAATTCTCGTGCATTCGACTATTAATGATCATTGAAAACAATCAGCCAATCAATATGCAGCACACAAGGACTCCAAAAATTTTCGCACACACCAAAATTCATCAAACATTGGCATCACAGAGGAAATAAGCATAGTCACAAAAGATATACAAATAAACTTGACACCATCAGACAAACATCAAATTTGACTCTATCTTCAGCAAAACAAACAAAACACAAAACAGACTCACAATATCAGGGGTAATCTCGACATCAATACAGCAAAGGCACGACACAAAAAATGCACAAAAGAAAATAAAAACAAGAAGGGTGTACGGGCTTCCCTCGTCATGGGTAGCAATCTAGTGGTCAGCCTGTCGCCGCTCGTCCAACAAATCGCGAATAAGGTCTCTAAGGTTCTGCTGCTCGCTCTCCAACACCTCGACCGAGCCTGAGTCGCTGCGTGCTCGGCTCGCAACAACTCCAGCTCACTGCGCAAGTCGGAGTCCGATGGGCCGAGATTGGATGGGTGGTCGGAGCTCGGCTGCTGCTGCTCGGCTAGAACGTGCTCGGTTGGGGCTTGCTGTCCTACCGGAGGTTGCTTCGGCTGATCGGGGAAAGTGGCATGTTGCATCTTCACGTTGGCAGCGACGGAAAGGTCAATGAACGAGGGGTTCGGCAGGGTTAGTCGCTCCATAGCCGACACCATCCAATACCGGATGTCGGCCTCTTTCTTCACGGCTCCAATCTGCTCGAGCATAAGCAAATCAAAATGTGCCACGCCTCCAATGGTCTGCCTCCCGTGCAAATCGACCCCGAGATGTTCGGCCAAACAAGTCACCAGACCCCCTACCGCGATGGGATCACGACGCGACTGGACCCGAAACAGCCCGTCGATGATAGCAGGTATCGTCTTCACTCGTGTCCCCTTAAGCATGCACCAAAGTAGTTTTAGCTCAATCTTTTGAACTAAGTGCCGATTCTCGTACCGACCGGTAATGAGATAGACGATCATCCGCTGCAAGTATCGTAGTGCTGGGTTGCGAATCTCCGCACTTTTAGATGACAATCGGGAGAAGTCCCGAGCGTTGGTAATAGCCAACCACGCTTCCTTGTTATCCATCTCAACCTCGTCGAGCGTATCCTCGGGTAGTCCGAAAGCGGTGGCGAAGTCAACGTCCCGCCACGTATACTCGACCCCACCAAGATGAAAACCGTACAGCCCGTCCCCATCTTCCTTCCGCAAAGTGCGAAAGAATTCGAACGTAAGGTCCTCGTAGACGGGCCAGTCTCCCGTCATCAATTTCCTCCATCCCATCACATCAACGAGACGATATACCTCAGTGTGTAACCCGAGCTTAACCAACAAGTCGTGGTCGATATACGTGGTGGGCTTCAGCTCTCTGGGAGCCGGGGCCGGTTCCCGGGCCTGTGATGTTCCTGCCCGAGCTCGTTTGAGGCTCGGGTCCTCTTGGCGGTTGTTCCGAAAACTGTCTGGGGTGATTTTCGTGTGCCTGGCGGTGTGGGATCTTTAGCCGGCGATTCGGTTGCGTTGGTCGGGGCCTGTATCGCTGCATTTTGCACCGTTGGGGCAGCACGTGTCCGTGAGGTGCCGGCCGGTTGCTTTTTGGATGTAGCCGGTTGTGTAGAGGGTGGGGCTGCGCCGACATGAGTTCTCGACTTGGACGACGATACCCCCGCCATTGTTGGACATGTGGATTTCTGCTGCGAGTGAGTGGCTGGTGCCTTGGTCGTTGATGGCTCAGACCCCTTCTTTGGCCGCCTAACGGTGAGGTCGATGAACGTTGGGGCATCGGGGTGAGTGTACGCCCCCATTCGGCGAGTGTGTCGGCGTTGCTCGAGTGGCACAAGTCGGAGCGGGTGTTTTGGCTGTCGTGAAAGCTGTTGGACTCGTGACCTAGGTGGGGCCGGTTCGGATGATTCGGTCGCAGCCGGCAATTTCATAGACCGCGACTTCACCTTTCCCGCAGCCGATTTCGACGGAATAGTCGACGGAGATATCGATGGGGCCGTTGAAGATGGAGAAGTAGTTGGTGGCGTTTGGGTGGCGGTGGAGTATTCAGGCGAAGGGTTTACCGGATTGGAGGCGGAGGACGGTGGTTCTTTCAGCGGCGATGGGTTCGCCGATTTCGACGCCGACGGCAAGGTAGGTGGCGATTTTGGCAGCGACTCGTCGTTGGACCTCGGGGGTGACTTGGATTTGAAAGACATCCTCTTGATTCTCACCATAATTCTCGCTCAATCTCAGATTTTCGAAACAAGAAAGCAGATGACCTCGGGCTTCAATTTCGCTCAGTGGTGTCTCCGATTATTCTTCGATTTCGAAATAGGGTCGTGACTGTTGGGATTCTTCTGGAAAGATGAAAAAGAAAACGTCGCAGACCCTTATTTCCACCGTGAGTCAACGGCAAGTGGGCTGCCACTGTGGTTGTTGGGCCAAAACAAAATAAGTTCTAAAAACCTCTATGGCCCGAGTGAAATCACAGCAGCCCCAAAGCACTGTAAACTCCTTCCTATCGGCCCGAATCCAAATCAAATTGGTTGTTTCCAGTAATGTATTGTTTGGCCTACTGCATTTTATATAACTTGACCCAACACTGGGAATTCCATCTGCACATCACACAAGGAGAAATTATCTTGCATTAGCAAACTGGAGCGTGTAACAGCAGCATAAAAAATAATAATAATTATAATAATAATAATAATAATAACAACAATAATAATAATAATAATAATAATAATAATAATAATAATAATAATAATAATAATAATAATAATAATAATATTGGGTTGCCTCCCAATTAGCGCCTTTTTTTTACGTCGTTGGCTCGACAAAGTACTCCCCTTTAAACTGCCTGAGGAATGTCTAGTCGGGCTCGTTCCACGTTGTTGATTCCAAGTTCACCAATATAGGGCTTGAGCTTGTGGCCATTCACCTTGAACGTCTTGCCCGTCGTGGGGCTAAAAATCTCCACTGCTCCATGGCCAAAGGCTTTCAAAACGACAAAAGGACCAATCCAACGGGAGCGTAGCTTGCCTGGAAATAATTTCAGCCTAGAGTCAAAGAGTAGAACCTTTTCCCCTTCGCTAAAATTCTTCCCCGAAATCTTCAGATCATGGTAGGCCTTCGTCTTTTTCTTGAAAATCACCGAGTTCTCAAAAGCCTCATTTCGTATCTCTTCGAGCTCTTGCAGCTGCAACTTTCAGTGGCCTCCCGCATCATCGTACTCAAAGTTACAATTCTTCACAGCCCACCAAGCCTTGTGCTGTTGCTCGACCGGCAAATGGCAGGGCTTCCCGAACACCAACCGGTATGGAGACATGTCGATTGGAGTCTTGTAGGCCATTCGGTACGCCCATAATGCATCCTCCAATTTAATGCTCCAATCCTTCCTATTGGGGTTCACCGTCTTCTCCAGGATGGACTTAACTTCTCGATTCGACACTTCGGCCTGACCACTAGTCTGAGGATGATAGGCTGTCGAAAGCCGGTGAACAACACCATATTTCCTAAGCAGCGCCTCCACTGTCTTGTTGCAAAAGTGTGTTCCACGATCACTAATCATTGCCCGTGGAATCCCGAACCTAGAACTAATGTTAGATTTAATGAAACCTGCAACAACCTTCGAATCATTAGTCCGGGTGGCCTTTGCTTCCACCCATTTCGAGACATAATCCACAGCAAGCAAAATGTACTCATTACCAAACGAAGAAGGGAAAGTGCCCATGAAATCAATACCCCAGACATCAGAAATTTCACAAATAATAATAGGGTTCTGGGGCATTTGATTCCTCTTAGAAATGTTACCCGTTCGTTGGCAATTATCACACGACTTACAAAATTCATGAGCATCTCGAAAGAGTGTCGGCCAATAAAATCCACTCTCCAACACTTTATGAGTTGTCCGTCTACCTCCAAAATGACCTCCACATGCGTGTGAATGGCAGAACGAAAGAATGGAGTGGAACTCGGCTTTCGGGACACACCGCCTAATCACTTGATCGGCACAATGCTTCCAAAGGTACGAGTCGTCCCATACATAATACTTGGCGTCGCTCCTGAGTTTATCCTTCATGTGGCTCTTCATACCTGTAGGATACACTTTAGCAACTAGATAATTTACAATATCAGCATACCAGGGTTCGGCAGATTCAGACGTCGCGTTGCCTCGATCTTGTTGTTCAGCTGCAACACAGTCGAGTATGGGGGTACCATGTACTCCTGGAAAGGTACCCCGTACTACTGGGAGCTGCAAGTTTCTAATGCACAGCAAATGCTCGTCTGGGAAGCTCTCCCGCAGCTGAAAGTCATCCGAGGCATGTGTCACTCGGCTTAAATGGTCAGCCACAGCATTCTCAGCTCCCTTCTTGTCTTTGATCTCCACATCGAATTCTTGCAACAAGAGTATCCAACGAATGAGTCTCGGCTTTGCTTCCTTTTTCGCCAAAAGATGACGTAGTGCTGCATGATCAGTAAAAACAACTACTTTAGTTCCCAATATATATGAACGGAATTTTTCAAGAGCAAAAACCACCGCCAACAATTCTTTTTCAGTCGTGGTATAATTTTCTTGGGCGGGATTCAATGTCTTTGACGCATAATAAATCACATGTGGCGCCTTATCCACTCGTTGGCCTAGCGTTGCTCCTACAGCATAGTCGCTTGCGTCACACATTATCTCGAACGGGAGATCCCATTTAGGTGGCTGGATGATTGGAGATGTGGTCAGCTTCTCCTTCAGCGAATCAAACGCCTTTTTGCAATCTTCATCCACTTGGAATTCCACATCTTTTTGCAGCAATGAGCACAAAGGGGCAGCTGTCTTCGAGAAATCCTTGATGAATCGATGATAAAATCCTGCATGGCCAAGAAAATAACGCACTTCCCGCACACTCGCGGGGTAAGGCAAGGCAGTAATAATATCGAACTTAGACTTATCAACTTCAATACCTCGCTTAGAAACAATATGTCCCAAAACAATACCCTGTTCTACCATGAAATGACACTTTTCCCAATTAAGAACAAGATTCGTTTCGATACATCGTTTTAAGATTACAGCAAGGTTCTCGAGGCCCGAATTAAATGACTCACCATAGACACTAAAATCATCCATAAATACCTCTATTATGTTGCCGACGTATTCCGAAAAGATACTCACCATGCACCTTTGAAACGTGGCAGGCGCATTACATAGTCCGAATGGCATGCGTCTGTAAGCAAATGTCCCAAACGGGCAAGTAAATGTGGTCTTCTCTGGATCCTCGGGTGCAATGGGAATCTGAAAATAACCTGAATAGCCATCTAGAAAGCAATAGTAAGAGTAACCTGCCAATCTCTCCAACATCTGATCAATAAAAGGTAATGGAAAATGATCTTTGCGAGTCATCGCATTTAACTTACGATAGTCGATGCATACTCTCCACCGGTCTGTACACCAGTGGGAACCAACTCACCTACCTGGTTCTCGATCACAGTCACACCCGACTTCTTTGGAACCACTTGCGTCGGGCTCACCCACCTGCTATCCGAGATCGGATAAATGACTCCAACGTCCAGCAACTTTATGATTTCATTCTTCACCACCTCCATCATAGGAGGATTCAGCCATCGCTGTGCCTCCCGAGATGGTTTAGCGTCTTCCTCGAGAAGTATACGATGCATGCAAATGGACGGGCTTATCCCACGCAAATCGGCAATGGTCCATCCGATTGCTCACTTGTAATTCTTCAATACTTCAATAAGGGCTGCCTCCTGGTCAGGTTCCAACTTCGATGACACTATCACTGGGAGTGTTCGATTATCTCCCAAATAAGCATACTTCAAGTGGCTCGGTAAGGATTTCAGTTCAAGCTCCGGTTCCTGCAAAGTAGAAGGAAGAATTTTCTTATCAAGCTCAGGTAACCGTATAAAATTTTTATCATGCTTTTCAAGATATGGTTTCAGAGTATTCAAGGCTGTTACGGCCTCATCAATAAGCTCCAGCTGGTGACAAAATTCGGGTTGGTTGCTATCTCTCTGTAGTCCGAGTATGGGGTCGCCCTGTATTCCTGGGCAGGTACCCCATACTGTTTGGTTATTGTCCAAACTTTGTGAAATCACAAGCTCCAGCTGGTCCTCCCTATAAGTGTCGAGAAAATCCTGTGCCAACGGTTCAATACAGTCAAGTAAATAAACACAATGGTCAGATTCAGGAAATTTCATGGCATCAAAAATATTAAACCGAATAACATTGCCATCAAACTCCATTGTGAGAGTGCCTTCACGAACGTCGATTTTCGTTTGAGCGGTGTTCAAGAACGGCCGCCCTAACAAAATCGGGGTTGATATAGGAGTCCTGTCATTCATACTCAACACATAAAAGTCAGCGGGAAAAATGAGCTCATTAACCTTTACTAGAACATCCTCAATCACCCCATCCGGAAAAGTAGTACTTCGGTCGGCAAGTTGAATTACCACCCGAGTTTCTTTAAGAGGACCCAAATTCAAGGAATCAAAAATAGAGCGAGGCATAATATTAATTGATGCTCCCAAATCGAGCATGACTCGCTTAATTTTTAGATTCCCTATTGTGCATGGAATTGAAAACATACCTGGGTCGCTTCTCTTATGGGGTAAATCCTTCTGAAAAATTGCCGAGACATTCTCTCCCATCAGAACCTTCTCATTCCCTTGCAACCTTCGCTTGTTAGTGCATAGGTCCTTCAAAAATTTGGCGTAACGAGGGACTTGCTTAATTACATCAATGAGAGGAATGTTGATCTCGACTTTCTTGAACACATCAAGAACCTGCTTCTCAGCGTCTTCCTTTGCTGCCTTTCGTACCCTGGATGGAAATGGTAGAGGCTCGGGTTTCAGTGGAGGGAAAATCGGACTGCCCACGCGTCTTTCTTTCTCAGCAGACTGAGTACAGGGTGTCCCCGTATTCTGCTGCTCGGCCCCATATTCTGCTGACAGACCCTCTTTTTCACATTCATTCTTCTTGTTTTGAGTCCTCGGGGCTTTTAATTCTTTCCCACTCCGCAAGGTGATGGCACTGACATTTTTAGGGTTCAATCAGATTGAGATGGAAGTCGGCCCCGAGTTGTGCATCTAGTCGACTCATATGCTCCGCCAATTGACTCATTTGGCCTTCTAAGTTTTTGATGCTCACTCCTTGGCTCTTGATATTCAATCCCTGATTCTGGATGTTCATCTCTTGATTCTTGATGCTCATCTCCTGATATTTTATGCTCTCTTGAACACCCTGCTGAAAGTTCATGGAGCTAGTTGCAAGCGTCTTGATCATCTCTTCTAGGGAAGATTGTGGCATGGAGTTCGGTTGACCGTTACCCGCTTGTCGTGGAAAGTTTTGGCCTCTTTGGAAGATTTGGGGTGGCCGATTATCCTTCTCCGCATACACTCCACCTGATGGATTTCCATATCGAAGGTTGGGGTGATCTCTCCAATCGGGATTGTAGGTGTTGGAGAAAGGGTCATAGTTTTGGCCCGGCCCATTATTGGACCCAATCGCGTTTGCTTGTGCCTCCATCTCACCATTGATTAGTGGGCAATTGTCCGTAACATAATCAGTTGTCTCGCAACGCATGCATGGTTGCATCCTGGATAACCCATTCATGGCTAACTTTCGGACAAAAGTTGTCAACTCTTTAACTTGGGATTCCAAGGCACCGATCCCAGCCTCATTAACCGACTGAAAAGATGCTTCTCGAGTGCCAAATTGTTGGGAGTTTGCTGCCATATTTTCTATCAAATCCCTTGCGGCCGTCGGTGTCTTGTCCATAAGAGTGCCTCCACTTGCCGCATCGAGCATGTTCCTATCCATGAGGGACAACCCCTCATAGAAGTACTGAATTAGCAGCTCCTCCGTTATCTGGTGTTGGGGACAACAAGCAATGAGTCTCTTGAATCTCTCCCAATACTCGTATAGCGTCTCTCCATGCAATTGCTTGGCACCACATATCTCCTTACGCAAATTCGCAACCCATGATGCCGGAAAGTACCGTTGGAGAAAAGCTTTCTCCATGAAAATGGAAACGCCTGAAGCTTGATCTGCTCCTCGGTTACCCCGGCGGGCTTCATTTCGGAACAGACAGTGTGGAACTCCTTCAGGTGCATGTGTGGGTCCTCGCCTGAGAGGCCGTTGAATGACGGCAATAAGTGTATCAGGCCCGACTTAAGCTCGAAGGTGGCGTCATTTACCGTCGGAAATATTATGCACAAGGGTTGTTGAAGAAGTCGGGGATTGGCTAGTTGCCTCAACGTTCGTTCTTGGTCTCCCTCCATTGCTTCTTCCTCACTCGAAGAATCAGAATATTCAGTGTTATCGGCCTCACTGGAAGAACTATGGTAATTTGTAATCACCGGATAGTCTCGCTCTCGGTTTTCTTGTGATTCCTTTGCCAACCTTGCTAGCCTCCGATTCTCCTTATCCTTCCTAGTGATTTCTGGGTTGTATGTCAATGGTTGGTCCAGAAGACCTCGTGTTCATTCACCTGAAAGACAACTGAAATTATGTACCGAATGCAGCAAGATATGTCGAAAGAACCGAGTTTTACACCTATTCTGCACAGCGAGTATGGGGTCGATATATTCTGTTCAACAGAGTATGGAAGGACCCCGTACTACTGGGAGCAGAAAAATAAAAAGAAATAAAATGAAAGCAAGTAACAGGGGGGTTCAAACTGATTTTACTCCTAAACAAAAAATAAAAATAAGAGAATAATTATAAAAACTAAACCTAACTTCAATTAATAGAAAATAAATTAACAACTCAATTCCGTTACTCCCCGGCAACGGCGCCAAAATTTGACCGCGTGTCGCAACACGGTCAAAATATAATATTTAATTTTCCTTAACCGACTTCTACCAACTAGTAGTAGTAGTGAGCAAGGGTCGAACCCACAGGGAGTGTGGAATTTAATTGTAATTATTTTCTTTAATTGAAATCATGAAAATACTAATAAAAGGAGGGGTTTTGGTGGAAATTAATTAACTAATTGAAATATGAATGACGGAATGAACTCAAATGCAACAAATAAAGATGATAATCAAATAAATGGGGAAGCTTCTAGTCCACGGTTCTGTCTACACCCTCGACTGACTCGTCTAATTAATTTTAGTATCAGATTTCGCTATCTCCTGAAATTACTAGCCCTAGGTAACGACACGATCTGTTACCCGGATTTTTCCTTATTTTTAATTTAACCGCGAGACGCTCGACGATTAAACCTGACTTCTTGTACAGTCCGGAAAAACGTTTTCAAGATTTAATACAATTAGCCGCTTTACGATTTAGAAAAATAGGCTAGACTAATTAGTGAACTCAACCGCGTTCGTTCACTTAATTAGGCCGTGTTATCCCCGGTAGTTACCTCTTATGAATTAAACACAACAACAATTACGGATTGCAGGCCTAATTCAGATGTAGATATGAAAAGCCTAATCTAGGTGATCAATCTAAACAAGACTAAGACATCATGGTAAATTATTCAAAATAACACAAGCAATTCCAAAAAGATATTAAAATCCTCAACCATATAAATCAATCAAAACATAGTCAATCGTAGGGTTCGACTTCCCTGGAACTAGAATAAAGGAACTACTCACTCATAATATTCAATAACATAATCAAGAATTTAATTACACAAGAAAGAAGAAAAGAAAAGAGAATAAAATTCTTCTCTAATGTCCGTTGTCTCTGTTCAGTTGCTGTGAATCGCGATCTGCTCCAATAGGTCTCTCTGTCCAATATTCCCTCGCAGCCGCGATGTCCCCGTCAAAAGAATAATAATCCTCCCAAGTTAAAACAAATTGATATATATCCTTTTCCTCCAAATATCTCACGTCTCTCTCCTTTATTTAATTCTTGGTCAACATAGTCTTCCCAACTTAGGCCCACTTCAATCTTTACTGTTCGCAGCCCACTTGGATTAATTCTCCTGCCATATACGTGAAATGCATGGGCTTCTCCATGTGTATGGGCCTGCTGGCCAGTACGGGGGTAGCTGGGTCAGTACTGGACGACCCCGTACTTGCCGATAACACTTCTTTGTCCTTCTTCCGAGCATCCACACCTCATCGTGCAACAGAAATAGATCCAAAAGTACTGAAAATCACTCAAAAACTCATCAAAGCACGAGAGTTGATCATAATATCAAATAAGTCGAAAGATGCATAAATGCGGGGAATTAAACGTGCACAATTGTAGCATTAGATGATTAAATGCAAGCACTTTTCTTGACTAATTAATTTGATTTTCGTTCCGTGACAAATTCGCTAGATTTTCTTTTCCTTGCGTAGAATTTTGGGATGGAGTTGAGCATCGAATTTCAGTTTCTATTGATTCTTATCTGATATCGAACCGTGTGCAGTAACGTCGCTAAGTCGATGCGAAGGTCGACATGAGAATACCTTAGCTTCAAGATAGTCGGCGATCAATTTTTCTTTCGTGATCTATTTTAACTTTGAACCGAAGTGGCGTACGTGAGAATCTTCGCTTACCTGATCTGGAGGAGCCTCGACACCTTTCTAGGGATGTTTTGTTATAGGAGAATCTTTTAAGAAGGGTAGTCGAGCCTGATGACAGCACATCGTGCGGTGCAGAGCCGTCTTCGTCTTTGCATTCATAGTTATTCTTTGAAAACTCTCGTTCTTTTTCCCTTCGGAGTTTCGAGAGTGATCCTTTGTATTTCTTTGACTTTTTGCAATCCTTTGAAAACTCTTGTTTTTGATTCGTTGGAGTTTCCACTTCAAGATTTGCAACCTCATGTATTGATTAAAACGAGTACTTTCGTTTTACCGCTTGTCTTATACCGTTTCTGTCGATTTTTTGTGATGCCATTTCAGTCTGGGTACTTCATTCATACCCAGATCGGCCTGTCGTGTTTTATGTTTATCGTTGATGACCTATATTCGAGACGCGATCGAGACGAATCAACCAAGGAGGCTTCGTGATGAGATCCAAAAACGTGAAAATCTTAGCAGAGTAGAATTTGAGCTCGTTTAGGACTGCCAGCACGTTTAGCTACCGGAGATAGTGCTGACGTGACGGCCGACGATGTTAGTCAGAAGAGCCATGCGAGCTGATCATTTTTATTGATCGACAATGACCACTGAGTTGAGAATGATTCCTAGCTGAGGATGCCGATATTCGCTTTCTTTAGATGTGATGATTTGGAAGCCCTGAACCATTCGAGTTTATAAATACCTAAATGCTGGGGGATAATGTCCTTGTTGAACCCTAATGTTTCTTGGTTTTGAGAAAACCTTTTTCCTTTCGGGTTACCTCAGATAGTGCGAGCCTTGAATTAGAGTAATTCTTTTTTGTACCTCGAACCGAGCACCGACACTGACTGGGTGTAGTCACGCGAAGTGGTGGTCGAGCATCGAGCCCGTGCTGAGAGACGTGAGGCACTGCAGGGCCGATCGTTGACTCGCACGAGGGCTGCAGCCACCATCACCGAACGCAGGAGCTCCCCAAGCCAGTGTGTGGCCAAAACATTGACCTTGCAGCTGTTCTCCGAACAGATGTACGCACACGTCCCAGCGCCCCGCTTATGCAGCGCCAGTGTGTATGACATCTCTCGGGTGACAGTGCATTAAACCCCGGACTGGCATGTCCTTCTAGATCGTTAGTGGGATCGTCGAGCATCTCTATTTGAGAGTCAGTTTCTGCGATAGAAGTTGTTTTCAAATGTCTAGTCGATACTTCCTAAACCGCATACGAGCTGTTACTTGTGTCGGCAAGGAATGAGGATTTGTCAGCGATATCTAGCAGAATCGTGTGTTCTGAAGATGTCAGTTTTGAGGATGGTGTTTTTTATGTTGGTTAGCCATTTGTATGCGATTCCACGGCAGGCCGTCTGATACGGACACACGGATTCACATTGAAATCATGGGCAAGTCGTCAGCGTGACCTGGGCACGAGACTGAACTTGGCACCGCGTAGAAATCCAGATAGTTATGCGTTTAGGACATGCTGTCGAGACCCTGAGAGACTGGTTGGAGTTTGGTGTACTCGACGGGTGTGTCGTGTGGAATTTCTTACCATAAGAAAGTGCGCTTATAGCAATGGCTATGAGTGACGATCTTGATGGTACCGTACGAGGTTCTGAGTACGGGAAGAGGTGTTGTATGCCTCGAATTCTGGGAAGAGATGAAGTATCAACCACATTTGTTGGTCCTTTTGGGGGTTCTCGACTGAGCCGGCAACTTAGCCTGACGGTTGACCCCATCACCGGAGCTTGCAAGAGTGCACGACCTGTTCAGTACCTCGCGGAGAGGGGGAAATGTGCATGACTCTGGGCACATGGCGAACTTTGACGAGCTGCATGTGGGCAGAACCTTACCTTTGATAAGGTACCGATGACCTACTGGATTGACGAATCTATCAGGACGAGTCCGGGAAAGGTACTCGTCAAAGTTCGGCGGGGTAACCGTGGCTAGTGCTGTGTGACTTGGTAGAGCGGGGAGATTCGTACCGAGTACCCGAGTTTAGTGGTTTGAACTTCCCTCTTGTGTCAGTTGTCCTGTTGGGATGATTTTTCTTGGATTTCCGGGGACGAAAATCGTTTAAGGGGGGTAGACTGTAGTGCCCCATTTAATTATGGATTATTTGGAAATTGTTATTATTATTATTTTAATTATTACTAATATTATTGTTGAATGTCTAAATATTATTATTATTCATTATTATTATTATTATTATTATTATTATTATTATTATTATTATTATTATTATTATTATTATTGTGATATCATTAATATTATTACTTGCCAAATTGAATGTCTAAATATTACTGTTTGTCTAATTGTAATAAATTGCCTAAATGTGTATTCTTATTTTTATTGTTATTATTATTATTTTAAAAATATGTGTGCAATTTATGTAGTTCCCGGTTTTTATTTATTTATCATGCTATTAATCGAGCCCGAGTGTACCCGCGTGAACCGAACCGGCCCGAGCCTAACCCGCGCCAAGACCCGGTTTTTCTAATTCTGTGGGTGTGTATGTTTGTGAAATTTTTCTTGAAAGCCAACAAAATAATGACCTAGCTATATGTATTCTTGTATCTATCTACCTCTCTCTTTCGTTCAAAAACAAAACGCCGCAACCTCTCAATCTCTCCCTCATCTCTCTCGCTCAATTGATCCATCTCCGCCCTCAAGCTCTCCCCCTCGTTTTGCTGCCGCTGCCCTCCTCTGCATATTCCCGTCGCCTCTCATCTTCTCCTCTCGCCAGAAAAACCAGGCGACCTTAGCAATTTCTGGCGAAACCCCGACCGCGACCACCTTCCTCTCTCTCCCTTCCAGCAAATCGATCGCTGCCTCTGCTCACGCGCAGCAACTCCGGCGAGACTTTTCCTCCGTGAGTAGGCCGCGAGCTTTTGATGCACAGTAGCCCTCGTCGCGATCTCTTCTGCTGAGTCCCTGCTCCTCCGCGAGCCCTCCTCCGGTGACCCTTCTCCGGCGACCTCCAGCAGCACCTCCGCGACCTCATACACTCGCGAACAAACCCGGCGATCTCCCACCGCGTGGTCTGTTAAGTCCTCCTTCGCGATTTTCCTCACGCTGCGAACCTGCCCAACTTCTCAGCCGCGACTCGCCGTGAAACCGAGCTTAACTCCGGTGAGCCCAGCTCCTCCACGAACCCTCGCTTGGAACCAGCAAGTCGCCTCGACCACTCGGACGACCCCCAGCAGTGAGCCACTCTTCAGTCGTCGCTGCCCCTGCTTGCGAGACGCCGCCGCTGAAACCGACGACCTCTCCTCTCCGAGCCTGCAACTCCGGCGAACCTCCACATCCGCGGGACCATTGCAGCAGCGGGTCCCGTCCCCGACAGCTCTCGTCGGCCGTTCTGGTTCATCACAGCACTTGTCGGGAGCTCTTCGGTGAGCGTGTCGGCCATTCGAGCATCCTCCGAGCGTCGCAGCCCTTCGCTTGCTGCTCCTTGCCGAACCCTAGCAGTGACCAGGAAGTCCCTAATGAGACTTGTCAGCGCTACTCCTCCCCGCGAGACTAGAGCATCCGTCGAGCCCATTCGAACCCTTCTCGCTCGTTTTTCGAGAACGGTATCGATTCTCGACTTCTCGTTTATCTTATGTTATTATCCTTATGTTGTTGTTCCTTTCGAGTTCGCGTGAATATATGGATGTGCGTGTCGATTTTGTTGTGTTCGTATGTATATATGTTTATTGTGATGTTATACATATTATATTGTCGTGATATTATGTCAAAGTCGTCGATTCGTGCGAATCGAGCGAGAACTGAATATAAGTGATGAGTTTCTATGGATTTAGGAACTTAGGATTATTTCGAACACACTGGCGCTGACCTTGTGTGGATTGGAGGTGTATATTTGCCGTTATGATTTTTCGAAGTTTATATTGGCTGTTTTGAATGTAAAATTCATTATAAATTGAATACAAGTCTGTAANAATTATTATTATTATTATTATTATTATTATTATTACTATTATTATTATTATTATTATTTTGTGATAATACTTATATTTATTTTTCTTGAATGCCATGATATTATTTATTGCCAAAAATGTGATTAAATGCTAAATGTTTAACTGTCTAATTGATTTTCGTGATTATTCTTATTATTATTAAATGTGAATAATGTGTATTTAAAGAAATATGTAAAATATATTTATTGTTCGGTTTATTTTTATCGTGCGTTTGAATTCGTTATCGAGCCCAAAAATTTTGATGGAACCGAAATTGGGCCCGAGAATTTTTGTCTGGACCAAAATCGAGCCCCTGAGCCAATTTATTTTCGCAAACGAGCCCGTGAGCCGATTTGATGTCGCAACTGGCCCAAAACCTATTTGGCCCAGCCTGGAATCGGCCCATCAAGCTCATAAACCATCAACCCATCGGCTTCTTCCTCTCATCATCGAATTACCATCATCATCGCCAAGCTTCGTCGCCACCTTCTCCGACGCAATCCGGCAAGCCATCATCTTCTTCGTCGTGGACTTTCGCCACCATCTCAGGACCACCGTGAAGCCTGTAAGTCCGGCCGTCATTGAGCACCAGCGACTTCCGACGAGGTTCAACAGCCCCGTCATCGCAAGCAAACCTCCCCGCGACGAGAACAATCCCCAGCAACCCCCGCTACCTTCTCCCGCCGCGAGCCGCCGCGCGCCGACTTGAATCCAGCAGCGACGAGTGCCCCTCCTTTGCAGTAGGTCGTCGTATCCTTACCTCTGCAAAGCATCTCCGGCGAGCTCCTCCCTATTCACGTGAGATTTTCCGGCTAGCTTCAGTTTTTCCGGCGAATCTCTTCCTTCGCAGCACCACCTCCGACGGGACGCCTCGGCCGTCGCAGCAACCCCGTAATCGTGAGGGACCGCTGCAGCTCTTCCCTCGGTGAGCCACGCATAGCCGTCGAGCCCCGTCGAGCCGTCTTCTCTCGTTCGAACCTTTCTCGCTCGTTTCTCGAGAACGGTATCGAGTCTCGACTTCACGTTTTAATTATACGTGAATTGTGTCGTGATCATGTGTGTATTTCGTGTTTGTTGAATTGTTATATGCGTGTTCGAATTGTTCGTTGTGTATTTATATTCGCTATTTTATGTGACACTCGTCGATTCGTGCGAATCGAGCGAGAACTGAGTATAAGTGATTAGTTGCTGTGGATTTAGGAACTTAGGATTGTTACGAACACAATGGCGCTGACCTTGTGTCGATCGGACTTGTAGATTGATAGTTATGATTTTTCGAAAGTTATAATTGCTGTTTAGATTGAAAAATTCATTATAAATCGAATACTGGTCCGATTTCCTTAAAATTTTAGGAGCAGCTGTGTTTGATGAATATGTAGCTGCTGTAAAATTGTCATAATTTTTAAAGGTGCTTAGCTATTTTTAAAAATTAATTTGTTTTCTGTTGAGTTTCTTGTAAAATGCATAATTAATTGTGTAGTGTTCTTTTCTGGCTACTTTTCGAATATGTTATGTTTCAGGCTTGATTATATGTTGTGTAAAAGTTTTAGAATTTTTGAGCTAGGTTTGGTAGGGTTAAAAAATTATTTTGTGATTCTGCTCAAAATTTATTTTAATTATTATAAATTGTTCTGGAGCTGAAAAAATCTGAAAATTTGTATAATGCTTATTTTGTGATGTTTAGCATGCTGTAAAACTTTTGGAATTTTTGAAGTTCATTTGTGATCAATTTTGATATAATTGCGATATTTGGCTGAATGTTATTTTAATCTTTATAAATTGATATCCTGAGTGTTGAAGGCTGGAAAATTTATGTGATGCTGTTCATATGCTGTAGTATGCTTGATAAAAATTTCATAGCTTGAATCGTCCATTATTATGTGCTTTTAATTTAAACTCATTTTTGTTGAAAAACTTGTTTGAATTTTATAAAATTATGTACAATGAGTTGGAAGCTGAAACTTGGCCATTTTTCTTAAAACTAGGAGGTGAATTTTGTGTAATATTTTCAGAGCCTGACTCATAAGTTTGATATGCCTTCAAGTTCAAGTGGGAATTTGAGAAATTGTTTTGCTAAACTGGAAGTTGTTAAGTGTTGTTGACTAAATGTGCTACGTGTTTATTTG